ACGCATGTACTCGTCCCTGGAGCAACACTCGCGTCAAAATGGAATTCCCAGTCCCACTTGTTTAAGTAAATTCTATCGCGTCTCTTTAGCGAATATGTTTGACTTTTTATTTCCACTTTACTTTACGATTTTATTGGTTGCTGTAATTTCTATTCCAATAATATATTAAGGGGAATCTTACAAAGTTAAAAGACATTACAACCTGGAACTAACAGAGGCACTGAGAGAACTCGAAAATACTCTTATGCGAAATCTCAATATTGTCTGTAGTTTATAATATAGATCTTTTAAAGTTGACAATTTAACTTGGGTATCCTGATGATTCTCCCTCAAGCTTAGTTCACCTAAAGATTAACCACCCTAACACTATTTTAGGATATGAGGTTAAATTAAGTTAGGTTTGGTAAGATTTGGTTAGGTAAGGTTAAGTAAAGTTGGCTTGGCTTGGCTTGGCTTGACTTGGCTTGGCTTGGCTTGGCTTGGCTTTGCTTGGCTTTTTCTGATTCTTTGTTGTGATGGTACAGTACATCTTATATACGCGCGGTAATCTTAGTATTGCATTTAAGTCAAACACCTGAGTAATTAAAACATGAGAACACAGGTATATGTAAACAAGCTTTATTATCTCTCACCTGGTTCCCAAACTTGTCACGTCTCTATATATTTTTCTAGTCTGTGGCTCAAGAGAACTCCTGTACTAGCTGCTGGGGAAAAGACAGATTCTCTCACCCATATAACCTGTTACACCCAGGCAAATATACGAGACAGGTGGACAGGTGTGTATGTGCCACCACCAGTTATGTAATTGCGTCAGGACCCAGGAATTTAATTAAAATAGAAGCTCATTCAGCAAATCAGTTTAACCTGCCTCACGTGTACAAAAGGTTTTGAGTTACTGTACGGCAATGTCATTTGGGAGAAATTAAGTGCAACTCCAATATATAGTTAGAGATTAATAGATAGTTGGATGGATATTTGAGAGGGGAACTCCATGATGAGTTTGTGTGTTATTGTATAATGTCAGTTGTAGTCTAATATAGATACAGAGAGAGAGCTGGATTTTGGGATTGTCATTCTTGCGTATATAGAAATACTCAAATTCCTGGATATCTTTTTTTCCCTTTCTAAATACGAGATTTTTGCAGATATCTTCATGGCCGATAATAAGTATTTAAATAAAAGTACAAACTAAATTTATATCGTTTTTTCTCGTATGATATTAAATCAGTTTTATGAATCTCGTTTTCGCCGACTGTCTCTTGTTTTGGCAATACCGAGGGTAAGTCATCCTGGAACTTATTGGCCAATGATAGGTTTGGATCCCATGAATACGTGTGTAATATATTTCATTCTTACTATACGTCATCGAGAAGAATGACCAGTAATAGGTTTGGATCCCATGAATTCATGAATGTAATGTTTTTTTCAATCTTACTGTAGGTCATCGAGAAGTACAGCCACTGCAACAATTTATCTTTACTACCCAAGCCAAATGTCTATGCAAATGCAATCATTGTCACTGACCCATGAATACTGAAGTAACGTGTGTTCCTCAGTATTCATTGGGTCAGCGACAATGAGTTTCTACCACTGTTTACGAGGGGTTGGGATTACAAGGACTGGATAACATGTGGTAGAGTGAATATCCAGGAGTTATTCTTGATCTGTGAGTCTAATAGATCCTGAAGGCTTACTCAGCATAGGACCTGCGTCTTATAGGAGTCAAGGATGTCCATTAAGGATACTGTTTAGAATTTATTGTTGTTGTCATTCACTTGACGGTCGTTTGTTTCGTCTTTTTGTATATAATGATCAAGGCAGTGAAACCTCTATTTAACGGACTATTTGGAAAGGAAAGTCCTTTATACAGGAGTCCGTTAGATGTGAAATCTCTATATAGCGAAGTGTATAGGGATGAAAGTGTGTTATGTCGAAGGTCCGTTATATGGAGAGAGAAATCCGTTATATGAACGTTTCACCTCTCCTCACCTCTTCATTATGTGAGCGAGGCGCCTCTTCTGTGTTTACCCAGGTGGTTCACGTGTTCACTATAGCGGGCAAAGAAGAACAATGTTCCTCCCTCTTGCTTTTGTCTTTCTCCCCCCATCTTCCCGACACACACACACACACACACACACACACATACGAGATCATCCTCTTGTTGATTTTATAAATTCTTTGTCCAATATTTACCGCAATTACTACCACAGACAAAAATTGGGAATCAAAATCTCTTCATAAGTCTAGCAAAATATATTATATTTAAACACACTTCCTGGTGAACCAGTTTAAAGGTACTACCAAATATATTTAACGTGTGGAAGTTTGCCTGACTCCTAACCCCCTCCTCCTCCCAACACTCCAGGCCTCCTCACACAGGACACCCTCCCTACTCTTCCCTCCATCCCCCCATCCCTCCAGGCCTGGCTTCGTGCCTTCAGTGCTCGTTCTAGCGCAAACTGTTTCACACCCAACTTTACCCAGCGGCAGACAGTGAAGCACAAAGGGTGTAAAGAATAAGAAATATGAAAATAATATGTGGAGGTTGAACGAAGCACCGGGTAGAATTTACTAAGCGGTTTTGGACATAATGAAAGAATCTGGGGCGGAGAGAGAGAGAGAGAGAGAGAGAGAGAGTGGTATAGAGAGAGGAACAAGACCAAGAACGTAGGTAGCAGGGCAAAATGAGGGACACGCTTATAAATAGCAATGTGTGAGTGTATGATGATGAGGATAAGTGAAGTGGTTTTAGTTGCTTATGAAGGCTATAGATGGTGTTGGGTTGTATGGAGTAATAAGGGTTAAACCAGGAGGAAAAGTTTCAAGGGAATAGAGAAAGTAACACGACTGGAGAACCTCATCTCTCTTATCAGCAGCTAGAAAAAAATGAATGACAGTAATGATAAGAGGTGGTATACAGGTCTTGATTATAACGATCCTGTGGCCAAACGCTGTAAAAAGTAGGTCTAAGAATAAGATACATATACATAATACACATGTAACTACAAATATATACCCTAAAAATGCATAAGAAAACATGTATTAAACCTTTAGAATATATGTATAATTTTGGTTTATTCTGATTTACTTTCATGTTGTTTATCAATATTCAATGGTGGAATATTAGTGAAAGTTACGTGTCTAATATTGACTCATACTGACGTTAATTACTGAGTGAACACATATGATACAACCACAATTAACTGGCTATTGAGTAGTTCAAGACTGACTGATTATATCCTTATTGAGAGAAGGAATATAAATGACGCGGCCGCTAGTTTGAATGACTTGAGATTCTCCTCTTAATGTGACCTTAGGGAGGCAGGTGGTAGAGGAGTCTTGAATTAGGTTGATTAAGAAGATTTATCCTGGAAGATGCTGTGAAGATCTTTTACGACATTTATGAATAGATGAGTTTAAACACACACACACACACACACACACACACACACACACACACACACACACACACACATATCAAAACTACAACATCAAAAAGGTAATCAAGTTTTCAATAAATGACGTAAATTGATCCGCACCGAAACTGTGTTGACAAGTGTTCATGGAAAAAAAAATACCAGTGAAGAGTATGACAGGAATGCTAGTGCTGGGTGGACTGTGCATGGGCGAGCTGTGATCTGCATGTCAACACTCACTGGAGGCTGGAGGGGGGAGGAGAGGGAATGGGGTATGGGGGAGTTGATGGGGAGGAGGGGGGGAAGCACTCTGTTTCAAATGTGTCACTGGGGAAATAAAAAACGGACTGGTAGTTTTATAACGTAATTTTTTGAGTGAGTTTGAGAGATGGGAATCGGATTTTTTTTTTTTTAGTGTTTACTCAAAAGTAGTGAAAATGTTGAGTTTTAGTGTGGATGAAAGAGACGAGGATTGTGTGTATGTGTGTGTGTGTGTGTGTGTGTGTGTGTTTTGTGAGACGTAAGCAAATGGCTGTGTTCAGATCATGCCAGTTAGATGCATATTTTCTGTATGTACGCACAACACACACACACACACACACACACACACACCACAACACTAGGAAATAACTAGGAAATAACAACTTATATTACCCTGGTTTAGTGTGATCGTGCAACACAAATATCACATGAAATGAAACCTGTAACATAAATTCTTTTTTTTGTACTCGGTTTGGTTGCCATAACACTCGGCGGTATCCAGCACTAACACAGCGCCTAATCTTCGGGATGAGGTTTACATTTTTTATGGTCTCGTGGTGAAATTCCTCAGAGATGTAGCTATTATCGTTTACAGTTTTATTAAATAATTATGAGATGTATTTGTATATTATATATTTTTTTTAAATAAATAATATATAATGACTAATGATGACGTTGACCGAGAAATAAATATGAAAGCCACATTGCCAGAGGAAAATAGTCCGCCTGTAATTTTGTTAATATTGCGATTCCTCAAGGTAGAATGTGCTTAGCTCCTTCCTGACTATAGCATGTATAGTGGGCCATACAGTGTTAAATATGCATAATAATTATCTATTACAAAACACGGAGAACACCTTCATAATCTCCATACTGCTGAATATTGATAAATTTACTAAGTTATACCTTGTCATTTTCTACGGTGAACACATCATAGAAAACGAATATTTTAACTATAAACTCTGATAGAATCTTTAACTCTTTGCTGAATATGATTTTATAATATAGAAATATTATTTAATAACGTTTTGAATGTATCTAATGGTATATAAACGTATAAAAATATCAAAGTGAAATAAAAAAAGGTAAAATAAGGTTATTCCTACAGCCAATGAGTAAGTATATATAACCATGATGTCATCTCCCTGTTTAAATATTTAATAATATAGTAACATTACTTACATGTCGTATTGAATAAAGATTAATATAAAGTCAAATATGGTAAAATTAATGAGATATAGAATTTCTTTAGTAAAATCCGAGCCTATCTACACCTAAAAAGCTAAAACATTGAGGCCAGGACGTCACCTCCGGCTGCCACTCAGGAAGTAGTGAAGTAAACAGACTGATGGTGGAGGCAGCGGCTGTGAGGGTCTAACGTCGCATTTCTTTGTTAAAAACCTTATTTCTTCTTTCAAAATGAGTCAACATATTGAGAGAGATCTTGATGTGACTAATTGTAGCCGTGGATTGTGGCTGGTTAAGGTAAGACCCTCGTGTGTGTTGTAAGATTGATGGAAGTGGAAGGGACTTGATATATATTTAAGACTTGTTTTTTCACACTGTTGATAGATTTATGTTCACCCATTGATTTATTTACAGGATATGATACTAGATAAAATAAACTGATATACTAGATAACAGTGGTCTACCCTTTGTATCTAATGGACCAAATATCTCCACAGAAGATTAAAGTTTTCTTACCTCCAGAAACATATTGAAAATGTAGGAGAAGTGTGTTTTGGGTAATGTTCCTTTTATATACAATTTCTTTACTTTTTTCCACTCATGAGGATATTTCTCCATTCGTCGCATTTATCGCTTTCAGATCAGTATGTGTTTTCTTTCATCGAGTTATTCCCAATTTTTTTTTTTATGTACAGGCGATGGTGATCAAATAAGTCGAATTGTTTTTTGTCTTGACATATTCTTAAACAAACAGATCATTTTTCCTGAAATGGGACAAAATCTAAAGTGATTTCAGACATGGTCTCATGGGTGTCCATATAACATTCATATAATGTATTACTGAAGAAAACTAACCTGACCTAACCTAAATTACTGTACTACAGTAATTTTTGCCGTCCTCTTCTGTCCATTTTGTGTGCTGGAACTGTATCACAAACTGCATTTTGACACGTTCCTGAAGGTAAGAAAGTTTTTATCTTATATGGAGAGATAACGTCAGGCTGCTACTAAGGCTGGACCGCTCCCGTTGAGTATTACCGATAAACCAACAAAACTTACCTAACCTTCCATCCTAGTGTGGAAGTATATTAAATTATTTTAGGTTGTGTTTGGTAGATTAATTAATAGAAGAGACGACTGTCCTCCTGACATTTCATCACATACTATACAGTTTTTCAAAGCTCATTAATTAACACTAACTAATCAGATTTTAAGGTTTTAAACTCAGATCCTTAACCGTGCTAGCACGTAAAGGAGCATGTTATATGTGAAACCTCCATCTTCCAAACAATATAAAGATGGAAGCCCATTATTTCGAGGTTCCAATAAGCTACGGTCACACTAGAGTTTTCCGTGCAATAAGTCCACGACAGCATATCATCCACAGGCAATAAGTCAACGGCACGATCCGCACACTGGTCACACTGGCGGAAGTAACCATCGACCAGGCTCTTGGTTCACACAGCTAGTTTGACCTCAGTTGGAGAGTTGGATGGATTCATTGGATATTTCTATGGCAGCATTAACCACTTTAGTGAGATGTGTGGTTCTGTTAAAGAAAACCAAGGAAAAGGGACGATTGTAGCATCCAAGCGATGTTTGTTTACAAAAGGACTCGAGTACTCTAGAGTCAAATGTATTCTTTTTAATTTTTATTTACTATGACTTTTTGCTGGTGTTTTGTTATTGAAATATACTTTATATTTTTTGTTCATTTTAACATTAATGAGAAAAAATAAGAACAGTGTAAATTCTATTAATATTATACTCTATAGCAAATTTCGACCCGCCGTACTGTGGATTTTCAGACGGTCCGTGTCGTCTCGCTTTCGACAACAAATAAGTTGTCGCTGTAGAGACAACTGGAGGAGTTCGTTGATAAAACAATGCTATGGTGGATTTATTCTGGGTAGAAACTCTAGTGTGACCGCAGCTTAAGATGTAACACCCCCATCTAACGGACTATATGGGGAGAAGAGTCTGTTATATGGACTTTATACAGGACTGTATTTGTTGATCTTTATTCATCTCAGGAGAAAGTCTATAATTCCCAATGAGAATAACTTTCCAGATTTTCTTTACAGCTCTGCCTACAGTATATGTATTTGTTCCAGTCATCGTTTAGTAATTACTTCCGTGTGTTACAGATTCCTAAGTACATGCGGGAAAAATGGGCAGAGTGTGCAGGTGATGTCGGAACACTCAAGATAAACAAGTAAGTTCCTCATGAATGTTATCTTGGCTTTTACAGAAGGAGTTTATAATATAATTTTGATAATTTATTTTTTGTCAGGTATCGGTGAATGTATTAGAATTACTGTATTACTGTATTTGAAGTATATAGTTATCATAAATGGGTTACCCAAAATTTAAGTAGGTACTTGTACTTTTGTTGTGTAATGTACTACTTTTAGGATGAATTTATTAATGTTAGATACAGTATTATCACCGATAGCCGGAACTTTCCAATTCTCAGAGAATAAAATAAAAAATCCAATAGATTCCAGAAAAAATCTCTGTTCTGAGCGTTCAAATGAATTACGAAAGATTGCATTGTGTGCCGAGCATGTGGGTGGACTAACTCGTGTGCTGTGATGGTTGCTACTGTCATGTGACTGCATGGGATGCCTATGATTGGCTGATGTATCTCACAGCCTATCTCTTCAAGCTCTAGCATCATGATTTGCTCTTAGATCATTGCCTGACATTGTACAAGCTTGTTTGCTCGCTTGCTGCGGTTTGTGCAGTGCGTTACTGTACCAAGATACAATTGTTCCAGCTGTCGGCAACAATACTGTTATACTTTATTGTTGTGTATATATTTTTTATGTATCAATAGCTTTGGAATGAAAGCCTTAGGGAGATTCCTTCTGTAACTCCTTTGATCAGTGTGGGGAATGTGTCTGTGGTAACACTGTCACACTAGTTACCAGACTACAGTATACTCCACTGTACAGGAACCATCTATAGTAGGACAGTTTTATGGATCTCACTTTTGTCACTATATTATTTTGCAAACTCAATCTGTTCTGTTCTTTCTTTTCTAGAGTTCCTGGTAAAATTCCATCTGTGTCTTATTCATCAAATGATCAAATACTAAAGGACAGCAAGATGCCCAGGGAACACAAGTTCATCTTACACAGTGTCAAAGAAATGACGCTTGGTGTATTCTCCCAGTCAATTCGTGAGTCCAATTTAAAATGCATAGTGCAATCCAGGTTCTTTAATTAAACATACATTTATTACAACCCAATTTTTTCATGTAGTTTATTTAAGCTGAAATCAAAGAATGAAATTTAAAACAAACTGTCAGTGTATGATAAAATTCTTGATTATTTAATGAAGTGATAATTGTATTGTTACATTATTTTTCAGCACAAGGGAGCCCAGATGCTGTAGTTCCTGAGACGGAGAAGTTATATATGGAGGGACAAGTCATTCAGAAGTTTGAGTGCCAACCTGTTGGTGAGTACTGTACTGTCCTATCCTCTAGCTGCCCAAAAGTGTCAGGGGCACATAAGTGGATATATATACAGGTACTCCCCGACTTACGACCTACTAGACTTACGTCCACCCGCACTTACGATCTGCCTCAGTCGTACCAAAATTTGGTCAAATTATGTATTTTTGAGTCCCAAAGTCAGTACACAGACAAAATTTTCATCTGTAATTCACTTTAAAATGGCTGGCAAGCTTAAAAGTGAGAGTTTTGTGGTGCTGAGAAGATGAATCGAGACATCCATTTTCGATTTTCTATGTGTTATTTAAGCATTTCCGACTTACGACCATTTTGACTTACGACCTGGATGTCGGTCCCTAACCCCGTCGTAAGTCGGGGAGTACCTACTGTATATTGTATAGTTATAGTTGCTGGCCTTCCATCTGTTAGTCTGTTTGTGTCTGTTATGTGCTTGTAGCCGTCTCTGGTAATGTGTTTGAGGTTAAGCGATGACTTTACACTGGAGTTTGAAATTTTGAATATATATACAGTGGGGTATGGTATAACGAATCTAATTGGTTCTAGAACCTTGTTCGTTATAGCATTCGTTCGTTATAGGATTAATCCGTTCCAGGCCCCCAAATACAACCACTTAACACTGAAAAATATAATATAAAATTGTAAAAATTGTAAAAAAGTGCATAAATATGTATCTAAACCCCTGAAATAAAGAATATCATTAATATTTGTAATAAAAAAACAATAATTCAGTAAAAAAAAAAAAATTTTTTTTTTTTTAATAATGTTCGTTGTAGGAGTTTCGTTCGTTATAGCATTCTCAATTTTATAGGTAAAACCGTTCGTTATAGGAATATTCGTAGTAGGATCCGTTTGTTATAGCATACCCCACTGTATATATATATATGTGTTCCTTGGTGCACAGATTAATGATCCGTGGCCAAATAAATTAAATTCTGATAATTTAGTGCCATGCTAGTAATTTAGACAATTATCAAAATTTCATACTCCAGGAACTATTAATTCAAGCAATTACAGTAAGAACAAGAAAAAAGGTTCCCACTTCTTTAAAGAAAATGTGTGAATACTCCTCATAAACTAACTTAACCTAATCATGTTTAAGAGGATGATCTAAATATGCAGTTCATGACTAATCCATTTAATTTATATTTTCAGTTGATAATTACTATATTAACCAGAAGAGAGCTGCTGTAGTAAAGGCTGCCCAACCTCATCGTAAGGCTGGATTTATTGAAAGACCTGTGCACGTCTACAAGCCAATATCAAAGCATAGGCACAATGTAAGTTCTACTAGATGTGTAATATAATACAATATTTGAGGATTATTAAAGAGGATCAATCATGGTGTACTGTTGGTGGTGTGGATATCTAAAGAAGATGGAGAATGGAAGAAGTTTGGTAAATCTTTTGGGTCCATCCATGTCCTGAGTTTAGACGGGTAGTTGGATGGTTATTGAGAGCATTAGCAAGGTTATTTTTCCTGGTGGTAGACTGATCTAGTTTTGGGGTATATGAGAAGAATGGAGGAGACCACCAATTTGATCCAGAGATGTTTGACGAGTTTGAATGTAGAAGGGAGGAGAGCAGTGGGGGGAAGGTAAGGCCAAGAATGATATGGGAAAGTGGTAAGGAACCTGAAGAGAAGAAACAATCTATGATATTGAAAGATAAACATCCACCACAGAATGAAACAGAAGAGAGGAAGAAGGCAGAAGGGAAGAAGGCCCGTGATGACAAGGATAAAGTCAGGGACATGCTGTATGCTGCATTTGAGAAACATCAGTATTATAACATTAAGGATCTGCAGAAGTTGACAAGACAACCTATTGTAAGTAAAAATATATTCCTTTTAAGTTAATATGTACTGGTTCACTATTTTAATGCATGTTTTCTTAAGGTGGAATATCAAATTGAAACCTGGTTAACTCCTTGGGGATTAATGTTATAATTAAATGAATAGTTTCAAACAGTTCATTGACTGCGTTTTTTATTGAGAAAAAGAAAGTCGTCAATTGGGAGTGATAAAAAGCTTACAATGAAGGGATTATCAGTAAGGATTTTTTATTTATTTTTAGATACCTGGAAGAGGTTGACTTAATAGACGTATTTTTATCACAATCTTTTGCTTCCAGACGTATCTGAAGGAGATCCTCAAGGAACTGTGCGACTATAACGTCAAAAACCCACACAAAAATACATGGGAACTCAAGCCTGAATACCGGCACTATAAGAAAGACGAGATGGCAGCGGATGACCCAAGCAGTGATTAACCTCAAGACTCTCTAGTGCAGTGGTTCCCAACCATTTTAGTACCATGCCCCACTTTTTTATCACAAATTTCTTCATGTCCCCCACCCGTTAATTGTTTAGTATGATATAACAATATCAGTTTTGAAGAAGTATAACATAAAAAATTGTATCTTTCAAATAAAACTAAAGGGTTTAACTTCAAATTTAATCAAATAAAATCCATTTTATAATGTGTATAACATATCTACCATCAGATTAAATAAATTCAATTACAATCAATTAATGAGACCCTTGAGCCTGATGTCTACTGCAAAGAGATTTTATCCGAGGCAGATATTTTGTTAATTTCAATCTCAAGTCGCCTCGTTTAGTGATATCCAGTCGGTTTCTTTTCTTCAGTAATAAGTCATTCACAGCACTAAATCCACATTCCACTAAGTATGACGATGGGAATGGTAACAGTAGTTTTCTTGCCAAACTACTTGTATTTGGATATTTAGCTTGTGTTTCTTCACAGAGCCACATCATTGTTCTTTTTATTTTGAACAGGGCTTTAATCGAGTCATCATTTTGTAATTCTGAAAGTTCTCCTTGATACTCCATGGTTACATCTGACAGATCCACTAGCATTGGCTGAGTCATCCAAGATGGATAATTAATTTCTTTCAAATCAGAAAATCTGAAGTTGAAATCGCTTACCATTATTTTTAAGTGCTCCACAATAACAAGACAAGTAGCATCTGTTACCTCAAATTTATTCAGCCAATAAAATTGTTCAAATTTTTTGACAGAAATATTTTCTTGGGATAATTCCAGAAATGATATAAAGCCAAATATCTTGGCCTTTGAATTAACAAGAGTCATATTTGTTCCTTGGAGCTCCTTATTTAAGACATTGAGTTTTTCAAATATATCTGCTAAATAACTGACAAGTGCTTTACCATCAACTGTCAGTAACAGTCATATAAGGTTTGTCATCCAAGAACTCGCTAAGAATATCAAATAATTCCATGAATCTTTTCAGGCAATTCCCATTTGATAACCACCTTACATCAGTATGAAGTAATGATCTTACATAGTCTGCATTTTGATCCTTGCAAAATTGTTTGAAAAGACGCTCACATTTGGCATTAGCTTTTATAGTGTTGATGCATTTTATAACTGCATTCAATGTCTCGTTTAGAACAGGGGAAACTTTTTTGGAAACTAAATTCTGTCTATGAATAACACAATGCACTAACAACATTTGGGGATTGTCGTCTTTCAATAATTTTAAAACTCCATTTTTCTTGCCCATCATCACTGGAGCACCGTCTGCAGCACAAGATATAATGTTCTCCATTGGTATCTGCTTATCATCTAAATATGTTTTTAATTTCTTATATATATCAATTGCAATAGTGGTGGTTTCTAATGCTTCGCAAAATAGCATATCCTCGATAAATTCTCCATTATCAACATATCTTACATAGGCCATTAACAGAGCTTCACTATCTCTTACAGTTGATTCGTCCAACTGTATTGAAAAATTTGTATATTTTAATTTTTCAACAAGTTGTACTTCTACATCACAACTCATTTCATCAATCCTGCTACTAACAGTATTATTACTGAGCGGCATGCTTTTGAGATCTTGGTCATCTTTTTCAAGAACTACTTTCAGAAAAGTTGATATTGCGGGCTTAATTAAATTCTCCCCTATTGTATGATTTTTGCCACATTTTGCTATGAGAAGAGAAATTTCATAACTAGCCTCAAGACCACGATCCTTGCTTGCACTTCTTGCAGAGAACAATGAATTTATTGTTGATCTTTTTTCAAACTTCTCCTTTAGGGATTTAAAATACTCCAGTTTTGAATTAACATGAATACTGTGTTTTGCCTTCAAATGATTTTCGAGACGACCTCTCTTCATGGATTCATTAGTCAAACATTGGTGGCACAACAGACAAAAAGGCAACCTTTCATCATGAGTCGCTGGTATGAACCCAAACAGCAAGTACTCATCTGAATACTGGCGAACTTTTTTTTTGGCGTGCACACTGTTCATTTTATGCATCATGGGGGTAACTGAAAAGTGAAAATAAAATATTTATATACTTAGGAAAATAAATTTAATATCTAACTTCTGTAACATACAAGGCACAGTGTCAATATGCAGTTGCCATTTCAAGTAAATATTGAGCTTTATATTCACAGTTTTAAATTAATGTTACTGTGACAAGATCAATGAATGATTATTTTTATACATTATTTTCAGAGAATAACAAGATCAATAATCATAATGAAAAGCACTTTAACCAGCCCTCTCAGTGAAGCTAAAAAACAGAGACAGATAACTATATCAACATGAAACTTGCATTTGTGTTTAATTCAATACTGCTTCCATGCTTTATTGTGCACATTTAATTTGGTTGTAGTTAGTTTCCTCTGTTTTTTTAGCTTCAGTGGGAGCGTTGAGCAGCTGACTAAAACTCACCTTCTTCCTTGACAGCAGATGAAGAACTGCAAAGTTAAACAAGTCAAAAGCCACGCATATAGCTGGTGCAGATGCACGATAACATTAGTGGGTGAACACTTGACTAGATTGCACAAGCTGTTGTGCTCAGCTAGGTTATAATTACAATTTTACCCTATAAATTTATGATTTTTACCCATATAGGGTAAAATAAAAAAAATGTTGATATTACTATATTTTTCATATTGCCCCCTATTATTATTGAATTGCCCCCCTATTATTATTGAATTGCCCCCCTATTATTATTGAATTGCCCCCCTATTATTATTGAATTGCCCCCCAGTGGGGCGTAGGCCCCACGTTGGGAATCACTGCTCTAGAGACAGTTTTTTTTGTTTTACTTTTACTTTTCAAGAACATTTTTGTTATTTTTTATTAATTGTTTTTCGAGAACATTATTTTGTTTTGGTATTTTGTATTTTTTCAGAGACATTTTCTTAGTGCTGTTAAAAATTACATGGTACTTGGAAATACTGAACATGTGGATTTGCCTTGATATCATAACCATTTGCCATGAATTAAATAGTACCTGAAAGTGCTTGTACATTTTTATATGACTAATATGAAATACTGTACAGTACAGTTAAACCTCCATGTAACGGACTTTTTTCATATACAGTAATCTGTTAGATGTAGGTTTCACATCTAACGGACCCTCGATATAATGGACTCTACATGCCTATTAGTTTGTTAGATAGGGGTTTCACATCGAACGGACCCTCGATATAATGGAATTTTCATTTCTATACAGTAGTTCGTTAGATGGGGGGTTTCATATCTAACTGACCCTCGATATAATGGACTTTCTCCTTATATTCCTTTAAATAGAGGTCTTACTGTACCCTTGAAAGCCTTTTATATAGAAAATAAAACTGGTATCTAAATGATTGTCGTGTTTTTTATGTTTTTCATCTATGTTAGTTTCTGCCATAATACATCCAGTTCGGCAAGTGTTTGGTCACGAGGTAATGGTCACTGTTCAGTATAGTTATTTTGGTCTCTCACACACGAACAAGAGTAGGAAGAGTGACCTTAAATATATACGCTGTGACCAGCTTATATGACATTACCAACTGCTAGCTCTTATGTGACCTGATGTTCTCTTGTAGGAGCAATGATGTCGTTATACTTCGAGGATATCCTGACCTGACCTGACCTATAGTGAGGGTGTTGGGTAGTCTTATCACTTTGTATGTTATTGTATTTTGAGTAGAACTGGTTAATAAAAATGTTAATATTTGGTTTAGAAATAATGAGGTGACATTCGATATTATAATTCATCGTTGGATATAGCAATTAGCTTTAAGACTAGCCTACCATTGTTAACCCTATGTACTGCAGTAACTGTATAAACGTACGAAATTACCGGGCTGATGACTTGATTTATACACGGTAATCCCTCGCCAACCACAGACATACCAACCACATCCACGAGACCTAAAGACCATATAAAAAAATAGTTGAATTGCAGACTATAGTACTCTCTATATAGCTTGTTTTTTTAATGTTTTATGAATAGTAAGTTCTTGGGGTAGTCCAAGAATGAAATGGAAAGAAGTTGTAGGAAATTACTTCAGAGTTAAGAACCCGACGGGAAGCTACGAGAGATAGAAAGCAGATCTCGGAAATCTGCCATTAATTCTGTTTATTAGTTTTGGTTGCATGTTTTATATTTTGCATTTCTTTGCGCTTTAAGTACGATTAATGTAGCTGATATCATTCAGTATTCATTAAGGGACTTTACTCCTTTAGTGTAGGAGGTCAGTGGCTGAGTGGATACTAGCACTCGCCTTCTGTACTAAGGGACGCTTGTTCAAACCTAACACACACTCAGTGGACCCAGATGTAAGTAGGTACGAAACTTAAATTGGTTGGAGAAATAAAGTTAAAGGCAGTGCCAGCCTTACTTGTCCACCTTACATAGTACAGTCATGCATATTGGATTCATTTAGTATGATCCCATGATCTCGTAACTACATACAGTGGGGTATGCTATAACGAACGGATCCTACTACGAATATTCCTATAACGAACGGTTTTACCTATAAAATTGAGAATGCTATAACGAACGCAACTCCTACAACGAACGCGGATGAATACGGGACTATTTCGCCTGGCGCATGAATATTGTTGTACCGCGACCCACAACAAGAGCGTCAGGCGCCATCTTTGTCTCATTGTGTAGCCAGTGCACCACTGTTATTGTTGAAATTTCGTCTTTTGATGTGGAAATTCGCGTTATTTGTATAACTATTTTGTTATACAAGTATACAATTGTAACAATGAGTCGTCCAAAGCGAGTGAGAAAGCTAATAACCCTTGAAACTAAGAAAGAAATTGTAAAGAAACGTGAGAATGGAAGAAGCATTGCGAAACTTAGTGATGAATATGGGATGGCTAAATCGACTATATGTACGATTTTGAAGAATAAAGAGGAGTTAAAAACTGTGCAAGTGGCTAAGGGAATCTTTAGACTTAGCAAAGCAAAGTGTAATGTGATTGAAGAGATGGAAAATTTACTCTTAGTGTGGATAAAGGAGAAAGAAATGGCAGGTGGTAACATTAGTGAAGCTATAATTTGTGAGAAGGCCAGACAATTGTTTGAGGACCTTAAAGCCAAGACTCCCAGTGGAAGTGATAGTGATGTGCCAGTGTTTAGGGGTACCTGCATGCTGAATAACACTAAGGTAAGATAAAGTACCGTATTTTTTACATTTTCCACAGAATTTTTTCAGTGTTAAGTGGTTGTATTTGGGGGCCTGGAACGGATTAATCCTATAACGAACGAATGCTATAACGAACAAGGTTCTGGAACCAATTACGTTCGTTATAGCATACCCCACTGTATTTAAGCTTTTATACAAGTTACTATACCAGGTAATTGGGAAAATCTCTGATTATAGGAGTAATTGTGCTGATTGGTTGATATCAATTAGTTTTGTTTATTCCATAATTCAATATGTAACTCATTAGATGATAACCTGAAAAAATCTCCATGAGTAGTCTAGGAACAATTTACCCAAATTTTCCACCAATGTGTCGCTTTGAGGCTGGGTTTTGATGCAGTCAGTCACTTCTCAAAAGCCTTGTTCAAGTCCGAGTTTTAGTACCTCATTTTACCACTCATTGCAGCCCAATACCTCTGTTCTGAATCAAAGGCAATGTGTGTCACAGAAAATTGTTGGAAATCCTTTGTCTACAGACCATATACTGTACAGGCTAGTGGTAAACCTGAATGCGGCTTTGCAATTAATGTTTTGTATTCTGCTACGTTAAATGATTCATAGATTTTTTTTTTATTCTGGCAAAGACATTTAGACAGTTCAGTAAAAAATTTCTCCATATTATTCTGACAAATTCTTGGGAAATGAATATCTGTTACAATAACTATGTGTATAATATTGTTTTACATACTGATGAATTCCCTGGGGAGAATTTTAACTTGGTACAGTTGTTGGTGAACAGAACAGATGGTTACAAGGGTAAGAGTGTGGGGTATGGGTGGTTTGTTCACACTCAGGATGGGATGGAGAAAGGAAACTCACAATGTGCTCTCTGTATACATGTTGTATTGGATGTACAATGCAGCTTGGTGCTGGGAAGGCAGCATGGTTACAAGCGTGATGTAGAGAGAGCTGGTTGGTGAGGGTGCTCAGAGGAGGACAGCTTGTGGGTCGCCATGCTTGCCGGCGGGAGCAAGGGCCGCCAGGTAGCGGCGGAGGAGGAGGTGTAGCTTGCTGCGGCTGTAGCTAGAAGAAGAGAGTTGGTTGGTGAGGATGCTCAGAGGAGGACCAGCCTGTGGGTCGCCATGCTCGCCGGAGGGAGCGAGGACCGCCAGGCAGGCGGAGGAGGAGGAGGTGATGCTTGCTGGTTGGTGTCGGTAGAAAGAGAGAGATCACCACGAGGTCAGGTCTTAAATAGCGGGGGTTGGCGTGGCTTAGTAGTTGACCCCCGCTCCGTGGGCGGCGCTGGTTGACCTAGACCACGAGGCATACACGGGAATTCGTGGGGTCGGCTACGCAACGACAAACAGCGTTTGTAGGGGAGAAATCCACCACAAGAGTACTACAGGTAATACTGACTGAAATGTATTGGGCTGGTGTGAGAAAATAAAATCACAGTGAAGGTAATCCTATTTCAACTGGAACTATTCTTTAGTTCCCCAAAACAAAGTTACATTTCCTGTTTTTGCAAGACATATTTTGACACGCTGAGTTAAATGGCAAAGTTATAAGGTACTTAAAATTGTGGTATTCAATTTTTTTTTTAATTTTTATCATTCTGATAGTAAATAATTTTGAGAATTTTATCAAAGGTAATTATTCAGTAACTTAACATAACATAACCTAAGCCGAACCCCCCCCCCCATGCTGTATTAGGGCATTTAATTATTAGTAAGGTAAGCTTGGGTTGGGTTCATTCTATATGTTAAAAAATAAATTGCTTCAAATTTCTTTAAAATAAATCCAGAAAGATTGTGGCCCATTTTTAAGGTAAGGAACAACTTCTATAACATCAGTCCCTAAATTACCAAGTTTGGATGTGCAAGACCGGTAAAGTATTACACAGGAGCATTATATTTATGACTTGGGGGGGGGGGGGTAATATACCTAAGTAGATCGGTAGATGTGCATATACCTTCTCACAGGGCATATACCTTCTCACAGGGCATATACCTGCTCACAGGGGCATATACCTTCTCACAGGGCATATACCTTCTCACAGGGCATATACCTTCTCACAGGGCATATACCTGCTCACAGGGGCATATACCTGCTCACGGGGACAAAAAACCTGCTCACAGGGACATATACCTGGGCAAAATAAAATAAAGTACACTACGTAAAATAAGTGCTATGTCATACAGCCGTAATAAAAATATAAAGAAGCTTTCCCATGAAAAAGTTCCATTTTCTTTTAGTGTAGCAGAAAACGGACGAAAATAGTTTCATGAAGGAATTTAAATGCAGGACTTAAATGACTTTGAATGAGTTTAAAAGTGCTACCGTAGTATTAAGGATCTGTTGTCCGTAATTTAATCTGTATACTAACTTGTCCAAATGACATCTCAATAATCTTAATTACGTGCGACAATGTACAGTATATCATGGAAAGATGGTGACTGGCGAGACAGGAAATGACTAAGAAATATATTAGAGGTGAAGAAAAAAGGACGATACAATACTTCGTACCCTGATAATTATAATATAGTTAAAGATACAACTAACTTAAAATGAAACAGTGCTTAAAAATTCACGCCATTGAAATGAGCTGCGTGTGGGCTGCATTTGGTATTAAAAAACAGGAGGGAAAGATAAATTTATTTCATGGGAGGCTCGGAGCAGCTGAGAGAGCCGAGGGTCTTAATGTGCAGAGTGGTAGGGAGGGTTATATCACGGGCTTTCTCCAGCAAACCAGAATCAAGTCTTGGGGATAAACTGAGTCTTGATATATGGAATAATCTGTGAGCGTCTCTTCACTTGAGGTACTAGTATACTGAACAGTCCTTTAGAAACTATAACTGGAGGTAAGATATATATATGTGTGCTATTCTGGGAGGTGGTTCACGGGCAGAGCGAGGGGACCAACGCATTAGGCTGTAATAAACCCCCACAAGAGAGGTCCACAATCTACCACCTGTACCCCGGAGCGAGAGGAGGAGTTTTACGGCTTGGTCCTATCGTCATTGTGCGCTAAAACTCTGGACTCGGTGTGTGGTTCAGGGATTAGAATTCTCTGTAGCGTATGACGACACCAGCTGGGAGAGGAGTCCGTAGTAGCAGCTGGTTGAGGCGTCCGGGCTAGACAAAAGGGTGCGTGAGGATGGTGAACGTCGCACTGGTGGACAGCAATCTCCACCAACACACTCGTTTCGTGGCCGTTTTTACGAGTCTCAAGGGTCGTTGTAGCTCCAGATGTACTGTTCCCTTCACTCCTGCGTTTACCATTTATCGTTGCTAATCCTCTCTCTTCCTGAGGTCTGAACCCCGACCTCGGAAGTGCAAATTCGAAGCACAATATAGAGGCAACTTCATTATTTAAGACCCTTAAGCAACATCTATATAGCCTTGCACCACAAATTGAACACTTGATGATAATGTGTAATAGTTAGGGTAGGTCAAGAGTGGTTTCATCAGTTTTGTGTGTTGTAACCAAGAATTTCCGACAAAAATGCTACAATACAGAGTTAGATATTTTTTTTTCTATCTCGCTATTTACAAATTAATATAGAGTTCCGTACTTGGTCACTACTCAATAGTTACCAGTTAGTGGCCTCAGACAGCTGCTGTACCGTGTCTATTATTATCTTCAGAATCTCTAAACACAGACTGACAATACATAATACATTAATAACTCCACATTAAC